ACCAGCTAAGAAAGGGGAAAAAACATAAAGCAAAGAAGACAATGGAAAAATGCATTAAAAAATCAGCTCATATACACATATTATCTCCCCCAGTTGAATACTGATTAATACATTATTATATTATTCCCACCCCTTGTGAACCCCCCAAATGTTTAAACTACTAAGTCTGTTTGTAAATCATTGACCTGTCATCTATGCACTATATTAATGATAAAATAATTAACAAGAAACATGAATAATAACAAAAAGTAAGGTTAAAGTTTCAAAACCCTCTGTTAACAAACAATTACTGTAATTAAGTTGAAGTTGAAATTAAGTAGAAAATTTACCACAGCATCTTATCTATCCCAAATCATCCTGAGAATTAAGATGGATCCTGGATCAAATATCCATGTTTGTTTCTTGATATCATCACTTATCAATTGTTGTCTGGTTAAATATAATAAATTCAGTCTCCACAATAGGTCTATCTCCCCAAAAGGTCCAGATGAACATGGTTTCCAATTAAGTATGATAAATCCATTTCCCAACCTCCTTCAATCCTCCTAGGGAAAACCAATTTATCACTTCTTAATTCAATCAGGCTTTTGCTGTTATAAAAGATGCAGCTTGAACTTCAGAGAGGCATATGCAATCGACTCTGTACATTCTATAGCTGTTTTCAATGGGTCTGCAACTTTCAAATCACATTTCTTTTGTGAATCTAATTTATCTAGAGCTATCTGCATCTGAATATTTTCCACAGCCATTATTATTTCATCAACTTTTTTAAAAAAGCTTTCAACTAAAAATTCTATCTTATTAAATAGTCTTTTTCTTGCTTGTCTGTAATCTGATATAGAGTTGCCCTGCATAGCTTAGCCAGGAAACAAAGAACACTGAAGCAAAATGGGAAAAAAATAAAAAAAATAGGGAAGACATTTTCTGAATATTTCAATCCAAGATTAAAACAAAGATTAAAAAAATAAGCTCCAAATATTTTGCAAAACAATAAAATGCAAAAACACTGTGGTGAGAGTCCAATATTAATGTAAATCAAATGAAAACACTTTCACCACCCTAGAACACATGTTTCTTATAGAAAAGGGAAAGTTATTAAAAATAACAACATAAATCAAAGGGGAAAAAACAGAGTCCACCAGAGGGTTAAAATAAATCAGCATTCAACCAACCAGTCAACTTTTAAGGATAAAAAACAAAATATTTAAAAAGTGAAATTAAAACCCAGAAATGCTTAAGAAAATGAATTGCCGAAAGGAAGATGGATGTCCAGTGACTTTCCAACCACTCTCACAAGGAATTGGAATCTTCAAGACTCCTCTTCCCAGATGGGTTCATGACCATCCAAAAGCTATCTTGGTCATTCCTAAGTGCTCCCATTCAAATCCAGGGAGCAGCACTGCCAGAGAAGTCGCTTTGGCAGCAAAATCAGCAGAATGTCAGCAAGAGAAAAAAAAACTCCTTACTGTTCAGCAGCCATCTTGGGGAGGAGTCTTATTCTATTCAAAAATATAATATTTGTTCATTGATTTATTGAGAAAATAATCCAAAGCTACATGCTTCTGTGTAACAAAAGTAAGTCTAAGATTATCAGTTCATTTAAACAAGAAATTAGAATCAGGTATTTCAATCAATGGAACAATAATCAGTTCTGAGTGTGGGAAGTCTGCCTTCTTTAAAGAACAGAATTCTGGGTATTTAATCTCAAACTCCAATCTTCACAACACAGGAATGTGGAAGTGTATTATGGCTTGTACAAAGGAGATTTCTGAGGACCTCGATGGATGAAAAAGGTGACAAAACCAATTCTAAAGAATTTAGACTCTACTGGTCCACTGTCAGACAGATGGGGTACAAATGGAGACAATTTAACACCACTGTTACCCTTTCCAAGAGTGGTTGACCAACCAAGATCATATCAACAGCAAAGCATGTAATACGTCAGGAAGTCTCAAAGAGCCTGAGGGTAACGTTTAAGGAACTGAAGGTCTCTCTTGCACAGTAGTGAACATTGCAGGATAAAAAGAGAAAGCTGCTACACTCTAAAAGAACGTTGCTGCCCATCTATAGTTTGCAAAAAAAATTACTCAGATAAGCCAAAAAGTTCTTAGAAAAATGTTCTAGGGGCGGATGAGACCAAAACAGAACTTTGTGGCTTGAACGAAAAGTGTTATATTTGCTTAAAGACAAACACTACATTCCACCATAAGAATTTTATCCCACCTGTGAAACGTGGTGGCAACATCATAGTTTGGGCCTGTCGCTTCTGGATCAGGATGGCTTACCAATACTGATGGAAGTATGGATTCTTAATTTTACAAGCAAATTCTATAGAAAAATGTTAGGGCATATCTCTATGAACTGAAGCTCAAGAGAAAGTGACATAGATCATATGACCAAAACAATGGTTAGCAAAAGAAGCAATTTTGGGTCATATTGACCATTTTCAAAATATTGAAAATTCAAAAACCTATAAGCACCAATGTGTAAATATGCCAAAAAAACCATGAAAGTAACTTTGATATTTTACTTTATTCTATTATAGATAATCTTTGACTTATAATCATAATGGACCCTTCCCATTATGGTTTTAAGTTCTAACAGCTCTGTAAAGTGGGTCACCCACATAATTGTCCTGATTTTATGACCTTTTCAGTGTTGGTCATTAAGCAAACACCACCATTGTTAAGCAAACCAATTGTAAGTAAATGCCAGTTTTCAACAAACACATCGTAAAATATGGTCATGTGACTGTGGGATACTGCAAACAGATGTAAATGTAGGCCAGATGTTGAGCTCCAAAAATGATAGTCACATGACCAGGGGTATAGCCATCAGAACCTCAGAACTAGGTTGTAAATAAGTTATGAAAGACTTCAAAAGGTTGTAAAGAGACTGGCCATAGTTGAGGACTACCTATAAAAGTAGCACATGACAAATCTCACTTGGGCTTAGAAAATAAGCAAAGTCCAGCCTAGTTTATATTTAGATGGATAGCCAGAAGAGAATACCAGACATAAACTAGTTTGAGAAGTTGAAAAACATCTTAGAAGCAAGAGTGAATATGAAATGTTTTTATAGCTAGTCCTTAACTTGCAACCATTCATTTAGTGCACTGAAAGTTACAACAGCACAGAAAAAAATAATTTAAGCCTGATTTTCATACTTATGACTATTGCAGAATCCCCATGATCATTAGCATTAACATTAGATCCTCCCACCTATGTAGTACATTGGGCAGCAAGGGATCTCCAGTATTTTCTATTTTGGGCAAATACTTCAGCAACTTCCTATGTGATGGTCTCAAGCCTGGATGCAAAAGGAGGAGGGTTAGGCATCAGGCTAGCAATCTATCCCTGTAAAAATTATAGCCACTTCAGAAACAGCAAGAAGAATCTCAAGAAAATTTAGCGTCCATGATCAGGTGATTGAAATTCAGGTGCTTGGCAACTGCCATGTATTTATAACAGTTGCATTGTTCTGGGGTCATGTAACCTTCCCAAGCAGCTTCTGACAGGCAAATGGAGGAAATCAGATTTGCTTAACAACCACATGATTCACTTAACAACTGCAGTGATTTGCTTAATAATTGTGGCCAAAAGGTCATAAATGAGGCACAGCTCACTTAATAACTGCTTTGCTTAGCAACAAAAATGTTGGGCTCAATTGTGGTTATAAGTTGAGGACTATCTGCGATAAGAATAAACCCCTCTTTCTGTATAAACTTACTATTATTTTTCTTGTAAGAATCAGCCTTCAGAGATTATCTGACAATACAGAGATTTTGAATATACCTACATCAGAATATATAACACTTTTGAAATTAAACATTAGAATCTTGGGTTCACAACTCCCTCATGCTTGAATTATCAGTTTGACAAATTAAAAATGATTATTCCACAATTACGAGCCTAATTAGATATGGATAGGATTGGTCATTGTAATATATTTATTGTAATGCTAAAATTGGACTGCATAAAACAAAACTTGTTAAAGTGTTTTGCAGCATCTTAAAAGAGAACACATTACCATATTTATTACTGCATGGCTGTTTTATGGGCTTTTCTTTTTCTTTTCATTTCTATGGATGAGTCACTCATCACTTCATCCAATGCATGAAGTATAGCATTCACAGAGAAGTACTGCACATATTGTATGCACAAATTGCTTTTGGAAGAAATGAACCCACAAGCAGTGATTCTGAAAAAGTGGACCCCAAAGGTAGGAAAATGAAAATTTGTCCAAGATTTAGAATACCGATTTATCAAGGATTGGAGAAATCATCAAACTCTTTTAACAAGAGAATACAAATGGTACCATTTTAAGTTGTATATCTCAAACTGGATTGCTTATATGGATTGCTTATATGGCATTCCCTAAAACACAAAATACTATCATCACTGCAGCAATAAAATGCTTAAGTATTAAATATGTAATCCTTGCTATTTATTAAATTCACTTGTTTGCTTACTTACTCACTTATTTACAAGACTTACATAGCTTCCTATCTCATATGATTGCTCACATTAAGCCATAAAAACATAAACGCACTGTAAAAACATTAAATACAATTTAGTCATCAGGACATCAGAATTTAATTGCATTGATAAAAAGTTGAGCTTAATAAAAAAAATAAAAGAGCTTAATGATACATGTATTTTTAGAAGAGGACGTTCTTTTCCGCATATATAGCCTTTCAATATACTTTCAGTATTTATTGTTTTTTATTATTTTAGGGCAACTGTTTTTTGTTTGTTTTGCACAGCGTGACAGCAAAGAGACCGCATGTAGCAAAATAATTATTTTCTGAGAACAGACAAAATTGGGAGACAAAATACAGTGGGAGGATTTTCTTTTACTTACAATTTGTTAAAGTGCTTACTTTATTAGTCGTATAATGAAATACAAAGTATTCTCTAAAATGTATTTAACAGACTATAAGAAGACGAAGAAATCTTAACTAAAGCTAATGCAGACACCGCGCACATCTTTCGCATTACCGAAGGTCTTTCCTTTCTTCAGATGACTTTTCAATTCAGACCGTCCCCAGAAAGTTTCAGTCACACAGGAAGATCTGTATCTGAGAGTCCTCTAGGCCGATACACACGTTCCCACGTCTTCCCAATATTGGTCTCGTACTCTTAAGAACGCGTCCCGCTTTGCTTGTCGCTAGGTTACGCCACCTTAAAGCGCATGCGTAACAGCAGTTTCTAGAGCGCTGAACTGCAGAACAGAGTTTCGCCAGGGGGCACAACTTTACCGTCATAGATCATAGATCATATTTATTAGAGTCATATAAAGTGAGAGTTTCCAAGTTCATATTAGGCACCATTCTTTTTCTGAGGAATGGAATTATAAAGTGTCATACAAAGCACATTAAAGAACCAATTCTGATTTTGAAGAGAGATGGCTAGATAAACTTCCCCCACCTCTCCACAACCTCTTTTATGTATTTCTCAATTCAGCTATATTACTTGGTTATGTTTTGCTCAATTCAACCAACTATATATGTTGGTTACATTTTATACACAAAAGAGGAGTGATTTTTCAGTTTGGCAGAATTAAGATGGGTGGAAATCTTAAAGTGCCAAGTTGGAAAACACTGGTATAGAGGCAGAACCGTTCACATCCAAAGCTTTCTTATTTAAAAAGTTCATAGGGTCGTAATCAGTAATTTGTTTCCAAATATGGGTAATTAAATAAGTGCACTAAGTTAAGCTTGGAAAGGTCTGAACGGATTTTATTGCGCTTCAATGGATCAAGCCCAAAAGTTCTTAATGTGAGAGAAGTTGCTTCGGAATCTAGTCTCATATTAACCAAATATAATCGCTATATTTCATAGATCTTGTCTGAGCCGGAAAATAGGTAAATCTGACGTGCTTGGATAGGAAAAATCAAGGCTGATCTGCTGCCAAAAGAACTACAAAGAAGAGTCCCTCAAATCGTCAACAGCGCTCGAGCTCCAGGCGGTGCTCGCTAAATTTTTATGTATGTCTATGCTTTCAATGTGTAATTGCTAGCGCATGCGTAGGGGGGGCTGAATTGGTTGAAGTTGCTCAACCTTTTCTGGAGAATCTGCTGTTCCCTCTGCCTGTGCCACAGCTTGGATATTGTGAATTAGAAACATGATCCAGTGTTATTTCCGAATGCATTCTCAGTTTACTGGAAGAATTATTTCTTCCTTCCCATTCTGAAACACATTCACACAGCTTGACTGTTAGTGACCCGAGGAGGAGGGCGGGGAGAAGAGGGAATAATACTGTAGGAAAACAGAAAAACAATGAAACGGTATATCTCTTCCCCCTGCATTCTCAATTTTAGCAAGCTGACGTCCTGCTTATTATTACTACTAAAGAGCCAGAAGAATGGAACGTGGAGTAAGGAATAGTTAATCACCGGCAAATGCTACAACTCCATAACATGCAATATTATAACTCACAAGGCAGTATGTAAATACCAAGAAAAGAGATGCAACAGTGAAGTGATACTCTTTCCTTAGCAAAATGCAGAAAGGAAAGAAGGAAGGAAGGGGAGGAAGAGGGAAGAGAGGGAGCGAGGGGAGAAGAAGGAAGGAAGAGAGTGAAGAAGGAAGGGGAGAGAGGAGAGAAAGTAAAAGGAAGCAGTCTGTAGTAGCAGCCAAAAAAGCTAATACAATCCTGGGTTGTATAAATGGGCATAGAATCAAGATCATGCGAAGTATTAGTGCCGCTTTATAAAACCCGAGTGAGACCATACCTGGAATATTGCAACCAATTTTGATCACCATACTACAAAAAAGATGTTGAGACTTTGGAAAAAGTTCAGAGAAGAGCAACTAAAATGATCAAAGGCCTGGAGACTAAAACATGAAGAACGGCTGCAGGAATTGGGTTTGGCTAGTCTAAAGAAAAGAAGAAATGGAAATGACATGAGAGTAGTATTCCAGTGGGGCTACCACAAAGAAGCGGGGGTCAAATTATTCTCCAAAGCTCCAGAGGGCAGGACGAGAAACAATGGTTGGAAACTGACCAAAGAGAGAAGCAACCTGGAATTAAGGAGAAACTTCCTAACAGTGAGGACAATTAATCAGTGGAACAGCTTGCTTTCAGAAATCAAGGGCGCTCCATCACTGAAGATTTTTAAGAAGAGACTAGACAGTCACTTGTCTGAAATGGACTGGAGGCTAAAACATATAAGGAACGGCTGCTGGAATTGGGTATGTCTAGTTTAATGAAGAGAAGGATGAGGGGGGACATGATAGCAGTGTTCCAATATCTCAGGGGCTGCCACAAAGAAGAGGGAGTCAAGCTATTTTCCAAAGCGCCTGAAGGCAGGACAAGGATCAACGGGTGGAAACTAACCAAAGAGAGAAGAAACCTAGAACTAAGGAGAAACTTCCTGGCAGTTAGAACAATTAACCAATGGAACAACCTGCCTCCAGAAGCGGTGAATGCGCCAACACTGGAAGTTTTTAAGAAGAAACTGGACAGCCATTTGTCGGAAATGGTATAGGTTTCCTGCCTGAGCAGAGGGGGTTGGATTAGATTACCTTCAAGGTCCCTTCCAACTTTATCATTATTATTATTATATTATTAAGACTTCCAAGGTCCCTTCCAGCTCTATTCTATTCTAAGGAGGAGAGGGAGGGAGGGAGGAAGGAAAGGAAAAGAAAAGAAAGGAAAGGAGGAAGATCCATTGAGCAAGAATGTTTCTCAATCTGACATACTGTAGATGTATTGAACTACTATGTCCATTACTTCCAGCCATTGTATTTGAAGAGCGTAGTACTGGGGATGCTGTCCCAAATACACAAAATGTGTAAAAATCCTAAAAGTGGCATTGTAGTCCTGCATATAGGAAAACCGTATGAAGAATTTTTCTGTAACAATGCAACTTGAGTTGCCAAAACAATTGGAAAACTTGACCAGGGAGAGAATGAGAGCATACACAGAAACAATCTCTTCTGTCTTTCTCCAATGTTCATGTATTCAAGCAGAACGTCTGAAGGGGAACTATTTGTGCTCATTTGAATAAGTGCAGCTGTCAGCATAATCCAAGCCAGGATCATATGTAGAGCCATACGTGTTCTGTCCAAAGCAAGTACTGTAGAGTTTTCTTTCAAACTCCTTCTAGAAGACTGGAGAAAAAGCTGGATTTGGATTTTAAACATGCACATATTCAATTCCACTATATAATATTTCTCACTTTTATTCACCAACTCAAAGCAACATTCAAACTGCTGCTTGTCTTCTTATTGTTCCCCATTTCAGCTAGGGCTGAAATAAAGTGTCTGGTCCAAAATCACCCACTGACTCGATGGATGAAGATGGGCTGGAATGTGGTATCTTTGTTCCTCCTGTTCAGCATTTCAGCCATATTAAATAGTTGAACCATACTATACAGACTCTCAGGGTGAGAGTTGGAAAAGGGAGAAAAAAAATAAGGACAAAGAAAGAGCAATCACATTGAACCTCAAATAAAATTAACCTATATAGCTTTATATTATCCACTGGAGATTAATTTTGTGTTTCAAGGCATATGTGCAGATTCTGATGGAAGAAGGATTTGAAAGAGAAATTGTCCCTGACTTCCTGATTTGAAGTTTTTAGGAAGATAAAAACTAAGAGGTGTTTATTTGCAATATCAATACATCACAGCAGGAAGGGAAAATGAGCAACATATAAAAGTCACCTAACTTTTCCTCCACCTGGTTTTGCATGAAATCTAAAAAAGAATTGGTACATTTGGTTGATCATGTTTATAAAACTCCCAGGATAAGGAACCCGGCAAGCTATTTATACTCAAATGTAATCTAATACAGATAGTCTTTGATTTATGACTGGTCGCCTAGCAACTGTTTGAAGTTACAACCTACCTGAAAAAGGGGAATGTATAACTTGAATCCAATAAGGAACCTGGCAAGCTATTTGTATTCAAATGTGAGTAATCTTATAGAGGCAGTCATGATATATGACTGGTAGCTTAGCAACTATTTGAAATTACAATCTATCTACAACTTGGATCCAAGATTCCAGCAATGCCTTCCCAATAGTCACATGCCCACATTTAAGACATTTGATAACATGGACACATTTACAATTGTTTGCAGTATCCCACAGTCATGTGACCACATTTAATAATGATTTGGCTAAAAACCAGCATTTATTTCTGGTTTTAAGCAAAACCACATCGTAAATGGGTTCACTTACCACTGTGATGTTCCCTTAACTATTGTGTTTGCACTTAAAACCATTTAATGACCACTGCAAAAACTGTCATAACTGGGTCAGTCATGACCCATTTTCCAACTGCTAATGACATATACCCATAATGGGCAGGTTCCATTACAATCATAACTTGAGGACCATCTATAAATGGATATAATTGAACCTGCTTTTGTATCCAATTTAGATCAAAAGGTACAAAAATCAACTAGGAATCTGGAGAGAGGTTTATGAACAAGTTAATGCCTTTTCCCTGTTTTAAATTTATTTATGGTACATGTAACTGATTACAGGGATCACCAGAGTGCTAACCTGTTAATGGAAACTGTTTTTCCTGCTATAATATGGTATTCTCAGTTTCTGATGTTAATGGTCTATTCAACAAAGCAGAAAATTGCATAGTAACTGGACACTTAAAAAAAATGATCTCCGTGCATCGGTTCTTAATACAGTGGTTATAGGGGTGCTCTTGGAAGAGAGCTGATAAAGCAGATTAGGGACAAACAACATGGACAAAATCTGTCTATATTGCTAGTCAATAATGACTTGATGATTCATAATCAATCAATGAAGTTGTTATAAATGGACCGCACAGTGGGCCATTATTTTGAAACAACAGGAGTTCAGCAAATATTGATTGGCAAATAAAATACATTATCTCACTTATTTCCTGACATGGTGCCAATGTACCAGACTACAAAGGTATAAACAGGGCAATATTAAACTACCTATATGATATTGTGGACACCTTTGTGTGGAAAGTATCAAGTAACTGGTAATAGTTTTTGATCTAAAGAATGACCAATTGCCATACAAGCAAGGAGAAAAAGTCCAAATCTCTATGAACATAGGGATTTGAAAACCTAGAGGCAAAATGTAGATAAGAAAATGGTCTTGGGAAAGATGATATGATGGTTGGTTGTTCTCCTTCTGGTGGTCT